TTCTCGTAGACTCTGGGTTTACCTGAAGCTAGCCATGTTGTAAATCCATACTTGAGCACGGAGGCACCGATCAGGCCAACAAACGTAGACGTCGCATCATCTCGTAGAATGGAGAGCATCGTCACCTTTCAGAAAATAAGATTGTGAAATCCTGACACGTAGGGTCAAAATATGTGGTTCATCAATATGTGTTTGTATCATGATATGTCAAGCGGATAGACATCACTTTAATGGAAGTTGTAGATACGTAGATTTATTGAATTTGCTCATTTTGATTGAACGCTCAAGTACTTTCTGTGGCACCCCTGGTTTACTCTGATTCTAAAATAGCCACTGCATTACGTGTCAGATCACATGCTTTGATAAAACATACCATTTGATCAAGTTCCGTGAAAAAATGGTTTTAGGACTGATGAGCTATATGTCACAAATACCTGTGAGTAGTGACTTTGCTACCATAACGTCAAAATTATCCGCTGAAAAATCCTGCATGGACCCTAACTTTCTTGTGTCACTGATATTGGTTCACAAGTTTAGGAAAGTTGTCCTAAAAACTTTTCTACGAACAGACCAACTGTTTCCAGTCTAAATCCCATCCACCCCTCCCCCCCCCAACCCGCCCTCCACTCACACACTAACCCCGCTCCCTTCACCTAAGCCCGCCCTCCACTCACATACACACACTGTTTCCAGAAGGGTAGGCTTGGGGGTTATATAGGGGGGTGAGAGGGTGGAGATAACCAGGTTGTGGTTATAAAAAGTAATGGTAATGTCCTTATATTGATTGTAAAAAAGGAACAAAAATCAAAGCTGAAAATTAGATGAGACCTACCTTAAGTTGAAAGCTGAAAGGATTATGTCTTCTGATGGTACGTAGATATCACGTGAGATGCGTGCGCATCGTCAGAAGTTAGTCGTACGTCAGCATGTGAGTGAACACTTCAGTAGCACCGTTTATTTGATGTAGTTGAAATATTGTCAAGTCTTAATAATAACAGCAGGAGTGATGACGATTCTAATCAAATTACTGCTTGCAGGAGAATTCATTTAATTTTCAAATTCTGTCTCCATTTCTGATTAGTACTACGCGATTCTGTGAGATGTTTAAAGACTGCTCAAGGACAAAATACAAAAAACTCACTCAACAAAGAAATGTTTAGTGTATTCTAAAAACCATGAGTACATGTTATTTTCTCAAGTCTAGCATATAATTAGTTTGCCTGTGTCTATCACTGTTGTGTTCACCAGAATGCACAATCCATATAATAGTTTTTCATGGTTTGCAGAATGAATGTTTATGTAAAAGTCACAATGAAAACACAACCACGAATATGACCTCCTTAACAACTGGGGTTATAGACTTGATATCAAGTGTCCATTTATATACATCATACCCTAACTACTAATTGAATAAATCTGGAGAACGTTGAAGTATTTCTCCATCCAGCAGTTTTCATGCCAGAAGCACATTGATACACAGCTGATATGGACGCTGCTCTAGAACTATGAGATAAAAATGTTGATGTCTATTCCAGTCTGTGTTTGCAAGCATTTATCAATCGTGTGATTGTACTACTGCACAGAGGATAATATGGCATTTGGTAACCGAGAAACCGCGTATGTTTTTCCTTCGAACATCTTAAGTACTTTTCAGGTATTCCTGAAATTAGGTAAAATACACCGAGAGGGTTTATCTCTCGAACGAAATTCCACTTTGATTAAAATTGGGTCAAGACTATAAAAAAAACCATAATGAATAAGTTGGGTAAAAATACACGGAGAGGGTTTATCTCTCGAACGAAAGTCCACTTTGATAAAAATTGAGTCAATACTATTTCAACAAACCACCATGTTTAAATTTCACACAATTCTGCTGGAATATGACAATAAGCATGTCCATCACATGGAGTAACTGTTTCCGCTATCCAGTCAATAACGCCAACATTGTTACCACTTTCGATGGCAACATTTTTAATGAACAGCGATCTATAGTATCAAAATTGCCAGAAACTGTTAGCGGGTCTCATATAATAGAATTGCTTGGCAAAGGAGACCTTTTTTTAACATGCTGTATAAAAATCTCCTCAAGAAAGTTCCGCGCAGCTGAACTCCAAAAATCAATTTTTTATGTAAATGTTGTACTGTTTTTGGGTCCTTTCCGGCCATGATGATCGAAGATTCATTCAGTTCCTTTTGAAAGTACAATGTCTGCGATTGATTTCAGAAAAGGCGACATACCATCCTGGGAAACAAAACATGAGTAATTCTCTTAAGGAACTGAGAAACAAGTTTGCATGGTCGACAAACAGAACAATGGCATACCTGTCAAGTAAGGTGTGAATTTAACATCAGGAGGGACAAGGAACGCTGACCTGTGTTTTGTTTCCATTTCAGATTTGAGCCTGCTTATTCTTTCAAGAAAAATGAAGGACAAAATGGAATTTACCCATTCAGTGAATCAATGCAGCATGTACTCTTTTCATCCATTCTCTGACAGGTTTCAAGAGAATTCATAATTATCTTGGGTTTCACGATAATTAAGACACTTCCTGAACAACTTGAGTAAAGACTAACATTTAGGTCATCCACATTCAGTTGTTTTAGCGTTTGTTTGAAGTTAAATAGTTTGGATACGATGGGCTCGGAGTCACTGTTGGAACTTACACGTGTGTTTCTTTTCTGTTTGGAATGTTAGAATGATGAAATGTTAACCTGCAGACTTCTGGTGTAAAGCATTGCTGATGCTTACAGCACCCAATCTCTTATTTGCAAACTCAACTTTCACAAATTGAGTTTTTGGAAGAAGGCAGTAGTGCGTGGTAGTATGTTATATCCCTATATTCGAGGGACTGGTTATGCGATTCCATGTATTTTTTCCGTCAACTTCGTTGTAAGGAAAATTAGCTGATTAATTTCCTGAATTATTTTCCATATGATATCCTACAGATATTAATTTATGTTTTCTTTTTCATTTAATTACTATGCTCCTGATTCCGGATATTTTTTTCGTTTCTTTCATTGTTAAATTTGGTGAAGAAGAAGATGGGTCGACATCCAAAGTGTACCTCTTACCTTCTCCCTGATTTGGAGGATCATATTTGGTCAATTCCGCTTCACGTATTAGAAAATAGTTTCTTTCTTTCGTACTTGGTGACCTTGAATTTAGAATATGCCTTTTCTCATTTGAATTTCAAGCAATTTTTGATTGATGAAAAGATGAAATCCTGTATAGTATTTTGTATTTACTCTTAGTAATTGATCATAATATAAAATTATCGTCAAAGACTTAGACTGTTCCACATGGGACTTCCATCTTTGAGATTAGTTGTAATAATTTTCAAATTGAAGTTAAATATAATTTATTCGGTAACTCCTATAGTGCTGCTTACCAGCTACCATCTACTCAACCACGACCCTGTCCACGTTTAAATTTGGGTAAAGATCTATGAGTTGTATGTCTCTCTATTTATTTCAAAAGAATGGTCATTCAATCATAAACTTTTACTATAAGATCTCATCATGCTTTTCGATTAGGATTAAAAGCTTTCTAAAACTGTAGATGTTGTAATTATTTTAAGATGGTCAATCATCTATTGTAATATATTCATATGCATGTTTTGTGTAATATATGACGGAAAATGAATGAAAAATATTTTTTAAAAAGATAATGAAAACTGAAGTCAATACTAACCAACATGTTATCTAATCACGTGCAATTTAATAGATAGTAAGAATAATGAACAATTTACACTTTCCCATTGTGTTTTAAACATGTTCCGTGTAACTATGAATACATTACATATGCCTTAACAATTTTCATTCTTAGGAAGATGTTAAATATATCTAAAAGCTGACACAAATACCACAGCTTGTCCAGAGCTGCATCTGCCATGGGCCCTATTGTATCAATAATCCAACAAATATATAGCCTAACGCTAACGTTGTGATGCTCGGTTGAGATTTATCTCACGTCGGTAAAACATTTAAAGTAGGTGATGTGTTGACATATTTCTAATGCATAATTAACATTAAACACCACAAAAATCACATATCTTACTTTTAACATCCCCATGTGAGTGAAATTCTTTGTCAATCTGACGTTTAGCATCAGGAACATATTAAAATAGAATAGAAGTTCTTATAACACAATCAGTAAAAGTGTGACGTAACGATGACTACACGGCCAGCTTCATCAGACAAATGACCATCTACAAATAACCAGTGTGAAGTGTACTAGCACTGACGTACGTAGTGTACGTGATGGTAGGGATCCGACCACCTTTTTCGGATGTACTATAAACCTATGTACACTTAAGTCGAAAAAAGTGTGACGCGATGGTAGATAGATTACAAACCAAATATACTCAAGATGGAAACAATGTAATGTAGTCAATTCGGCTACGCTTTGTAATCTTTTGACTGAAATCACTAGTTTCATTTCCTTGGTCAGTCGGATTAACAGCAGTGACCACTTGTTTGGTCTATTGAGGTAGTCGGATTTACAGCAGTGACCGCTAGTTTGATCTCCTGTGTCAGTCGGATTTACAGCAGTGACCACTAGTTTGGTCTATTGAGGTAGTCGGATTTACAGCGGTGACCACTAGTTTGGTCTCCTGAATCAGTCGAATTTACAGCAGTGACCACAAGCTTGGCTCCTGTGTCAGTCGGATTTACAGAAGTGACCACTAGTCTGGTCTCCTGCTTCAGTCGGATTTACAGCAGTGACTACTAGTTTGGTCTCCTGGGTCAGTCGGATTTACAGCAGTGACCACTAGTTTGGTCTCCTGGGTCAGTCGGATTTATAGTAGTGATCACTAGTTTGATCTCCTGGGTCAGTCGGATTTACAGCAGTGACTACTAGTCTGGTCTCCTGGGTCAGTCGGATTTACAGCAGTGACTACTAGTTTGGCCTCATGGAACGTTACATCATTGATACAGAAATCATTAAAAAGTATTTTCTACCATTTTGATAAAATTGGAGAGAAAATAAAGAAAATTCGACTTAATGAAAATCATATTTATTTCATTTTTATACATATTAATCATTCAGTATCACAGTGTTATATTGCTCCAGGATATTTTCCATCATTTGAAACATCGTGTAAAATCACAGCTTTTTAAAAATATTTTCCCTTGTCTATAACATCAAGCGCTATAGATCTCCAAAAGTTCTAGAGGTGATCCTATTCTGTTATTTCACCAAGACACTTTTCTACTTCCGGATAGCATAAACATCGTCGCCAACACTGATGGTCCCTTCCACATCTGGTGCCAGGTAGATACCAATACAGGGTTTGACACCATACTCCGGGAAACTCCGGATCCTGGACAACGAAACAATACAACTTTGATATATATAAATATATAAAAATATTACAAAATTGCAATCTTTTCCTTCTAAATATCAACAGGTACACGTTTTATTTACTTAAGGTGTCTTCCTGTTACACTGGAGAAGACAAATATTAAACTGAAATGACACAAGTCTCATTTGATCTGATGAAGTATTAGGGGGCTTCAATGGTGTATAAACTGTGGAGACAATCCGAGAGGCAACAGTGACCCTCTAACAGATATTGTGAAAATGTGTGTCAAATAGTTACAATGTTGTACTCTAGAAAATGTTAATACTATAAATAAAAAAACTCTTTTTTTTTAAAGAAATAACTATACATTCTGTCGAGTGTATTTTTTCACTGATGAAATAAACATACTAACCGCCTCAATGTAGAAAACGGTTCCTTGTCCTTTGAATGTTTGCCCTCCTCTTGTACAACGTTGACCTGGTTACATCTACAAAACAATATAAAAACGATTTTAAAGCCGAGTTTAACTCATATTAGCTTAGTCAACATATTTGTCTGACTGTGTACGGCTATATCGCGCTATACAACTGTCTCGTCCTCCTAGAACTCGTCAGTAATGATGATATGGCCATTAGTTGTTGAAATCTAAGAGGCGACTGATAAAACTCAAAATTTTTCGAAATAAGCGTAAAATGCCAGAAGATTCAATAATGCGAAAAATGTACCAAAGTCATAATTTCACGCTACAGTGAACAAAGAATACCGGACATATCCGTCATCTTTTGATGAACAGAAGAATTCATCGAAGATTGACCCTATTTCCTCGGTTGTTTACCGAATACTTGTCTCATAGCATGGCGTGACAGTAATAACAAACGGACATTGTATCTTCTCTAGTATGTTGTTTTATACCTATATACTAAAACCGCTTTATTCAGTGTGTTCTCCATATTAGTGTCTTATCAATGATAAGTATTGAAAATTGTCTATGTAAAGTTTTAATATATATAATGATAATGACAGACATGCTGATCATGGCGGAGCTTTATCAGCACACTGACAATAGGAGGAAGTTTATGTAAAACCTGGTGAACTGACCTGGAACACATGTCTATCATCCTGAAGGAGGTTGTACCTATCTTCACTGCATCCCAATTATCCTATAAATGAACGACACAGCAATGTAATTAATAATGTTTAAAATCATTTTAATAGTTAACTAGATAAAATCATCACTTAACGAAAACTTGTTTTAATTGATGGTGATATTTTTATTTTTTCGGAAGGTCATCAAACGAACTAATGAACATCAGTGATTTACAGTTAAAACAAGTTAAATTGTGGCCAAGGAATGCCACGCAAGTTTTTGACATTATATAACACCTAATCCCACATATCATGTGGAGATATTAGCAACGACACAACAAAATTAACCTCCTCGAAAGCTGACGATCCCTCCATCATGATACTTGGCCGGAAGTTGTTTACATTCGCAGGTGTCTCCAGTTCCGCGTTCAGAGCGTTAAGACTTTCTTTGGTCATCATCATGTAGGCACAGTAATTCGCAAATGCCATCTATTAGCAAAAGGAAAAAATATCAGAACTATCCGTGTGGGAGATCAAAACTATGGCATTACTATTCGCAGTTTAAATGATTTCCTGTCGACTTTCCTTTATAAACGCCGATTATTCTATATGCCATGTGTATCTCTCAGAGAGGTTTCAGTGTTCTCCACATGCTATCATAGAGGGTCTTCCCTCGGCTTCATTTTCAGCCAACAGCTGGTGGTTATATTGTTCAGATTATAGGAAAATGCTGACTCCTGTCGTCACTTAACGTCAAGATCCGTGAATAAGTTTGGTCACTAATATAGAATATACTTGGACCTAGGTCAATAATACAGGATATACTTGGACCTTGGTTAATAATATAGAATATACTTGGACTTTGGTTAATAATATAGAATATACTTGGACCTAAGTCAATAATATAGATATACTTGGACCTAGGTCAATAATATAGGATATACTTGGACCTTGGTTAATAATATAGAATATACTTGGACCTAGGTCAATAATATAGATATACTTGGACCTAGGTCAATAATATAGGATATACTTGGACCTTGGTCAATAATATAGAATATACTTGGACCTTGGTTAATAATATAGAATATACTTGGACCTAGGTCAATAATATAGAATATACTTGGACCTAGGTCAATAATATAGAATATACTTGGACCTAGGTCAATAATATAGATATACTTGGACCTAGGTCAATAATATAGGATATACTTGGACCTTGGTCAATAATATAGAATATACTTGGACCTTGGTTAATAATATAGAATATACTTGGACCTAGGTCAATAATATAGATATACTTGGACCTAGGTCAATAATATAGGATATACTTGGACCTTGGTTAATAATATAGAATATACTTGGACCTTGGTTAATAATATAGAATATACTTGGACCTAGGTCAATAATATAGATATACTTGGACCTAGGTCAATAATATAGGATATACTTGGACCTTGGTTAATAATATAGAATATACTTGGACCTAGGTCAATAATATAGAATATAGTTGGACCTAGGTCAATAATATAGGATAAACTTGGACCTTGGTCAATAATATAGATATAACGAAGCCTTGTGTTTTATTAACTTTCTTCGTCTATATGACAATACCGAACTGGCGATAGATATATGTACCCGGTTATATTTCCTATACCCCCACCTATCATGAAATCCTTGGTGGAAACACTGGGTTTGATCATCTTCATATACTGGGAACATGGCGCTTCAGAGACTGTAGAATGAAGGAAGGATTGGGTCTAAGAATGGTGGCACCTTATATATGTATAACCTTAAACCTGCCGGTTCGTTGTCTAATCCGTACACTTACCCTGTCTCCGGGTAGCGCATAATGTTCCCATGGATATTTAAAATTGATGGATTCCCGTTTTGACAGATCCGGGTGAGAGTAGTTAAGTCTGACTCCTTTCCGTCCTGTGTGTTTGGTGAACCAATCCGCAGCTTCGTCACCGCAATCCAGCGTGTCTATGGCCATTGGGCCATTGCTGTAACGAATGACAACCTTTGACACAAGAATACACATCATATCATGTCATAAGATGTTGAAATATTTTTGTCGTTTTACATTAAGTTATTTAAATAGCTAAGTGGTTGTTTGTATATATGACGCATTTTAACTTTATCAATAACCACACACAATTTTAAGTCTCCTCTTTCCTGTAACAAAAGATATGGCTTGATAGCAAAGAAGACTGAGGCCGAAATGAAATATACTGAAGATCTTGTTAAACGCTTACAAGTAAACAGCACGTGTTCTAATAAAACTTTTAGAGTTATAACCAGTGCAGCCAACCCCCCAACCCCCCCTCCCAAGGGACCACTATGCCCTGGTAGGGAGAGGGGGGTCTGTGGCGAATAGATGTGCCCGCTCCATTAACTTGAACGTTAATTTCCTGGCTCTGTGCCTTGTATTGCTGTTGAAGTGGAACACTTTAGCAATATCAGTGTACATCAGGACTCATCATTCACGGTAGCCATGTGTCTTTTTCAGTTACGATAATAGTTCTGTAGACATGTTTGTATTTTCATGTTGTTTTTGTTTTCAATTCCATACGAGGCAGGACTGATCGGTATACTTTCATCAAACCAAATTTTTTATCGAAAAAAACCAACAAATATTATTTATCAAGGCATTAAAAATAACAGCTATAATTATCAAGGGTTTATGAGAACACCTAACCCAGTTCCCATTACACCCATCACTTTAGCTTTGTCAATGATTCATTGTCATTCAATTTTTCAACGACGATGTAAATCGAGTAATCCGTTGCTAAAAATCACTGACATAAACAGATAAAGCTTATAGCTATCATTAAGGGCACACGTGTACTGCTCCTCACCAACAACGTAACCTACAGTTACAGGTTACGGCTATTAAGGTCACAGTGCACTGATCCTCACCAACAACGTAACCAACAGCGTTTATCCATGTCCGTGGATACTGAGTTAGTCTGAAGACAAATTTAAAGAATGACGCATGTTGAATTTGTCTCCCGATCAACTTCGTTTGTGCCGATCTTGGTTACATCTTTGAAGGTGTTGATGAGCATGGAGACGAATTCCTTTCCCGAACATCTGATCTTGTACTTTTTATCAATAGAATTCATGTTTGTGCGTTATTCATATTTATTGCCTTTGCTCAAAAACAGCGATGGCGGTTATTTGCGTCAGAAACGATTTTGTGATAAATCAACTGATAGGCTAACATTACCCAATATGGCAGACCCATGTCTTGTCGAGTTTCGGGTTCAAGGGGACCAGAAGAGGTTCCATCCCTGGGGCCGTCATTTCCACCATGTCTTCGTGCAACTTCACAGTCACTAGAGTAAGTTTTGGCTCCATGTTTGCATTAATCCAGTTGTTGTCTTTAGAGCTTAGAATCCAGTGTCTGATAAACAAAAATCAGGATTAAGACGTATTTTTTACACTTTTCTTTGAAAAACATGTATAATTAGCTTTCAACCATTTAAACAGTGAAGACGAAAAACGTAGGATTTATATATGTTTGGTATCCCTCATCTTCTGGTGACGTCATATTTTGATCATTCTGGTCTCTGTTATCATGAATGGTTCTTTCATATAACTTAAAAATAAAAGCTCTTTACTAAATTATCCAAAATGCTTTATAAATAGCATGAATATTATTTCGACAACGGTAAACCCAATCCCTCCCCCTTTTTGTTCCTCCTTGTGTGTATTACTATAAACTGAACGAGTTGACAGGTGGTTAGTAAAAATCTCAAAGGACAAAATCAATTTTTTTCTTCCATTTCATAAGCAATTTTATATCAAATGAGATCCCTGAAAATGTATTTACTTTGAAAGCTCTCGATTCTGTGGGATGCTATTTTAATTTTTTAATAACCACTGTTTGAGAAGATTCAAAGAATGTTTCGAATCTCCTTGGATTTCTTACAAACTCGACCTTACATTTACACTTAATGAATCTTCGTCGCCATAACAATTGATGCATGGTTTGATGTCTTGGTTGATCATAAGCTGTTAGATAACAGGCAGTACAACGTTTGGTATGGCATTCACGATGGGAACTGGCGAAGGGAAATGTTCCTTTCCATATAAGGTTATGATAAAATGTTAAATGTTTTGGTCGGATATGTGGCACGCGCGACTTATAATCATACGAAATACTTTAATAATAAAACTCGTTAAACAAAAATCTGAAAGGTACCATAAATTTGCTATTAGAATGTCTTTTTCACATGAAATATCACCATCCAAAAAGTTATAACAAAATACGTGCATCCATACATATCACTGACTAACCTTGTCAACAAAAATATTAGTTCTCCCTTAAGTATAAACGACTTAAATGTCAAAAAATAACATAAATATATCACAAAGCGCACGTGCATGACCTATAATAGATATTTCTGGAAGAAGCTACCCGAGCCGTCAAGCTAACAAGTCAAACACATGACAATGTGCATGGTTATCTATATAGGGCATGTGAATCCATATAATGTAATACATCCTTACTCGAGACCTAATAATAGTTCAGCCAGCCCATGACATCACAGGTTATATGGGGTCAAGCTTCAAGATATGGCGGGAAAGTAGAATGAGATAGAAGTTATCTAAGAATATGTAGATCCCTATGTGTTAGGATGGGTTGTGACGTAATTGTTCTTGTAAAAGTGACATTATCAGTGTTGAAGGTGACACGACAGGGTAGTGTTAGAATTAACTGATTTAGGTATTTGAGAGGTAAGATTTGACGATGAGGTAACAAACCTGTCTGTGACTCCAAACTGACGCAATCCTATTGCTGTACATTTGGCCGTTTCGATGTCCAGTCCTCGACATGATTTCACCGGGTAAAGATGTAGACTAGACACTTTCCCGACCTTCTCGTAGACTCTGGGTTTACCTGAAGCTAGCCATGTTGTAAATCCATACTTGAGCACGGAGGCACCGATCAGGCCAACAAACGTAGACGTCGCATCATCTTGTAGAATGGAGAGCATCGTCACCTTTCAGAAAATAAGATGGTGAAATTCTGACACGTAGGATCAAAATATGTGGTTCACCAATACTTATGTGTATCATGATATGTCAAGCGGATAGACATCACTTTAATGGAAGTCGTAGATACGTAAACCTTACATGCCAAACCGTTTCACTTTTATCAGCAAAGATAACGACAAATTACCTTTTGTTAGAACACCGGCTAGGACACACTGGCGGTCGACTTGATGTGAGATCCCTGGCGATGGCAGATAAACAACTATTCAGTTTCCCGCCAATGCACGCTATTTCCTGTGGGGTTTCCCCTTTTATAACACTACGTATGCTTACACTTAATCTTAAAAATAGACATTGAAAAACTTTTAAAAACTTTTATAGAAAGGAAATAGTTAGCAAAATTTAAAACAAAACCGCATGACCTACATTAAGAGGTTTTTGAATGGTGACGGTCTTTGTGGTGTTGTAATAGGAATGAAAGAGAAAAGGGCCCAGTGATCAATCTTAACGCAATCTTTATGAAGGAAGGGGCATAACTCTAAAAGAAAATTGATTATTTTACCTATTCTACAAGTTTTGTACTTTTTCAGATCTTATGAATTTATTTAATTACCAATAAAGTTTACGTAAAATAATCTGTCCTTAGTGCTATCAATAACATTCAACAAACAAAATATATAACTGCTGATTAAAAGATACAACATTTCTACAAATGCACGAGTGCTCTACATAGGCCTACATTATTTTACCCTGCAACTGGCACCGCCATTGCCGGAATACACTCGTCACATACATTTTTGCTGTATTCCAACACGTCCGTAAATTCGACGAAATTACTTTCTGAATGTATTCAATAATTACGTTGGATAATATAAATAACTGTTGAAATAAGTGATTTTATATGTTGTAATGATTAAGTATATTTACGAAAATTCATAAAATCGCTGTCATATCCATTGACGTTTGAAACTACATTTCTGTGCAGAGCAATTATTTAAGAGTGCGTCATCGTTGCGGGATATGTAGAATACATGGTCAGCGTCTTAAAATATAAGCTGTATTCTGGCGAGGGTGAAGAAAGACAAAAGAGGCGAGCCACTTTTGTCTTTCTGTCCCGAGTCAGAATACAGCTTATATTTATAGATACTCACAATGTATTCTCTATAAATAGTTACATATGATCATAATGCGAATGACGCAGTGCCGAGCACTATGACGTAACATAGTGAATCATGGTATGATCACCTGACCAGTGCCACATTAAGACCACTGAAATCTTTCTCATCATTGTAAAGGTTACGACAGAAAGAAAAAAACCAAAACGTGACAATTTTAAAAGATTCGTCACAAATAGGAACTATACTAATAAAATAACATACAGGTATCTTAATAACACATGTAAAAATAACAACCATTTCAATATCCATCACTTCCTTTCACCCATATCCCACAGCAATGTTGTATCGTGTACCGTATCTGTAAAGCTACCCAGGACGGTAACGCGAGAGCTCCTCCGCAGCACGTGCACGTTATAACTAATCGAGATGTATTTCACAAGAGAATATCTGTCAACTATATTTAAAGTTGTATGATTTTATGTTATATATCATATATTCAGCCCCTTAGTCTTTGTCTCTGCTTAGATCACAATTAAAATAAGTGATCTCTATTGGTTGATTTTATAAAGTAAATGTTAAGGTGATACCACTTATTGATTATTGATGTTACCAACTTGAATAAGTAGTATCGTCATTTTCTTTAACAATGTAATAATTTCAGTAAACGATATAATCATATCTTATCTCTAAAAGAAAGAGTCTATTTTTTTCATCGTAACTTGATGCCGACTGTAGTGTGATCTGGTCAAGCATAACCATGCATTACATCCCCTTTACATTTAAGAAGAAAAAAATTGTACATGTGCCAATAAATGAACTAACTGAATAAAGGATGTTTAAATCATTAATCTTGTGTAGTTTTATTCATAAGCACAGTCACTTTCTGCTTGTTCAATTTAATTGTCACTAGAACTTTTGAAATATTGTAGAAATTAATTGTCAGAAAAAAAGCATAATTTTTAACATTACAAGCCATTAACTAATACCAATTACTTAGCAATATTGTCCTGGTAAATAGGACAGGAACTATTGTGCCCTTTCCACAGTGCTAATGCAACACAAATAAACGATGACAAAAAAAATGACACTATCACATTATTCTACAGTAATATAACACTATTTGCATGTCAAGTCGCTCTGACTGCTGTACATTTCTTCCTGGCCGAGTTACTGTAGAAGTAAACTGCGTTCCGTTGTTAGAAAGCAGTGTCTAGGGTAACACATGGCAAGCAAACACGAACTTCATTACCTACTTAGTATAGAAGTCCACAAGTAGTAGACACTTTCTAGACTCAAACTCGTCACAAGCTACATGGCTGTTTGGAAGAATAGTTACTGTCAGTGTCTTTTATATCGAAGTTCATACATAGCCAATACATGTCGCGGCTATTACACTTAGCGGTTCCAAGGTGTGTTTGTGAACGAGATTAAGCATTTCTTTACTCAAGCTGAACGGAATGACAATTTGGCTGCCGTTTTATACAACAATAGTTGATCTCTTGAACTCAGACCGTCTTTGTTTGCATCACATTCAACATTCTGTTATTGTCTCCTTTGATATTGTCTACCATCGAACTGACCCGTTCAACTGGCTTGTCAATTCGGGATATATAGTTCACGTGCTGAATGAAGGACGCCTGTTGCTAACTTATCAATAGAGAGACTGTACTCTCCCGGGAAAATTCCTGATGTTTTGACTAAATCAAGAAAGTTGAGAGTTCACTTACCTTAGCAGGAGTTGTATCGAGTGTCGACACTGAGTATGTGCTCAAGGAATATCCAGGTCGGGCACAGAAAAGACCGAATAACAGAGCACCTTTCTGGTGTGACAGTCAAGGTTACATATTCTATCAGTTACCAGGTGTGACAGTCAAGGTTACATATTCTATCAGTTACCAGGTGTGACAGTCAAGATTACATATTCTATCAGTTACCAGGTGTGACAGTCAAGATAACATATTCTATCAGTTACCAGGTGTGACATTCAAGGTAACATATTCTATCAGTTACCAGGTGTGACAGTCAAGGTTACATATTCTATCAGTTACCAGGTGTGACAGTCAAGATAACATATTCTATCAGTTACCAGGTGTGACAGTCAAGGTAATATATTCTATCAGATACCAGGTGTGACAGTCAAGGTAACATATTCTATCAGTTACCAGGTGTGACAGTCAAGATAACATATTCTATCAGTTACCAGGTATGACAGTCAATGTAACATATTCTATCAGTTACCAGGTGTGACAGTCAATGTAACATATTCTATCAGTTACCAGGTGTGACAGTCAAGGTAACATTTTCTACCAGTTACCAGGTGTGACAGTCAAGGTAACATTTTCTATCAGTTACCAGGTGTGAAAGTCAAGGTAACATATTCTATCAGTTACCGGGTGTGACAGTCAAGGTAACATATTCTATCAGTTACCGGGTGTGACAGTAAAGGTAACATATTCTATCAGTTACCGGGTGTGACAGTCAAGATTACATATTCTATCAGTTACCAGGTGTGACAGTCAAGGTAACATATTCTATCAGTTACCAGGTGTGACAATAACGGTAACATATTATATCAGTTACCAGGTGTGACAGTCAAGGTAAAATATTCTATCAGTTACCAGGTGTGACAGCCAAGGTAACATATTCTATCAGTTTAATCTTGTGACTGCTGAAAGACTTCAGTATCCTTTGGGATTCCTTACCGTAGTCACTTATTCCTGAGAGCTTGTCTGGGCTTTTGTTTGAATACTCTTGCTCCCGTCCATTTATGCAGGGATTTTTATCCATGTGTTATCTATTACACTTACCACCATGACAGCAGTAGTGTTAAATTGTTAGTTCATCATCATCTCCGCCTGTTTCACATTTTTTGTCAGACTGAATAGTCCGTTCTTTGTTCTTAGTTTTTCCCTACATCTTTCTTCCTTACGTTGGATACTCGGATAAAAATTAACTTCTACTTACTTCGCACGTTGATCCGGAAAATACATCAATGCAATAAGCTTCTACTTACTTCGCACATAGACCCGGATAATATATCAATACATTTATCTTCTGCTTACTTCGCACGTAGATCCGGATAGCACAGTTTTACTGTTTCGGGACTTCAATGCATTTTTTCCAGTAAAAAACAGCAAAATAAAATTTCTGTCGAGCAATGTATGCTATTATTTTGAAAATACGGCACACAAATATCGAAGAGAGTTATATATTTGGGTATACTCACCGATATTTAGCGCGCGGCACGCCGTTTGTATTGTTGTACTGCTTAAGATGACCTACTTCGTGTCACTACACGCCGCAGGGTCACGGACGAACTTTACTTATCAAAGTGTTAGGATAACTTAACTACGCCTCCCAATGCAAATATGATGGTTGATGGAATGCACGTTTCGAAAATGGGGCCAACACCATAATACAGTGCACATAAATATGACAGCCGACAAGGTTACAAGGGTGTCATATTTCAACATCTACCTACTACTGCGACGTCGATGTCTGTATTTTTTTCAGAAACAACATTTATGCCGTTGTATGAGCCTATCTTGCTAAAATAAAAAGTCATCATTTCTTCCCCGCGTCTATATCTGAACAGAAAAGCATTGATTGTCTTTATAAGTTACGTGAACTATTTCAGAAACGTGATTGACCACGTACTAGGCACTGTATCCTATGCCCATTGGAACAGTATCCCAACCAACATACGTCACTCATCCCCTCGCCCCACGAACAAATCGAAAATGCAATCATACTTTTTCAGACATAAATATATATAATATGTAACAATACTCTATCGTTTATTGCACATAAATATCAATCATATCCAACAATACGCTTTTGTTTACTGCTCGATACAATGAAGAAATCAACAACACATTCTCAACAATGTAAAACAATGGAAAACCTCATTTTTCAACCAGCTGGGTCGAGATGAGTACTCGACCAATACAAGGTGGCCGCAAATTTGTGTATGAAGTTTCATCAAAACTAGATGAAAAGTGGAAGCTAGTAGACCGAGGATAGGGAATTCTATTTGCAGCAAGTTACAGTGTGTAAGAATGCCACGACACGAACTCGTACCGAGCCGTCGGTCAATTGTGTGCTTGTACTTAATGCTTGGGCAAAGAATGAGT